TGGCTGGGTTTTCAGGAAGCCTCTCCTGGGCAAGGCTGAAGACTTCACCATTTACATAAAGAACTTCATTCGTTTCCCTAAATTCAACTTCTCCAAGTATGTGAGGCTCGGCTATGGGGACTCAGGGCTGGGGCCATGGCTGGCCCTCCTGGTGGCTGTGCACAGGCCCGTGTATGTGTGTGTGTGTGAATGAACCGCAGGGGGATGCTGGGCACCCCTCCCTGCTGTGGGGTGGGGGTCTGTTCTTGGATGCGGTGGGATGTTAGCGTGGATGTGGTTGGGGCTCTGGCCGAGGGCTAAAGTCGGGGACTAAGCCTGGAAACAGCAAGTCTACCTTCATTTCACTGTCTGTTCATGGTCACCCCTCAGGACCAATGTGCTGGACACCAAAGACAGATCTTACCTGAGGTCCTGTCGGTTTGGCCCCAAGGACCCCTACTGCCCCATCTTCCGACTGGGGTCTGTGGTCAGTTGGACGGGGAGCGACTTCCAGGAGATAGCCCTGCAGGTGGGTGGCGTGCCCTCAGGGAGCCTTCCCTGGGGCCTCAGGGCTCTGAATGAGGAGGGGTGTGTGGGGGGGGCCCATGGAGTGGGGGTGGCCCTGCAAAGTCACCTGCCCCAGGGACTTCCTGTTTTCAGAATTCGACACAGTCGGCTGTGCCTGCGCTCGGACCTCAGGCACTCAGTGAGGGCACACTCAGCACCTGCCGTGTGGCTCTTAGTCGCTGGGGCAGCAGCTGAAACTGAACCAAAAGGAGCCCCACGGGCACATCCTGGCTGTGTGTAAGGTGCCTGCCCATAGTGTAGTCGGTGCTCAGCGGGAGTTCTTGTCTTCTCTGAAGCAGGAGGCCGGAGGCGGCGGGGGCTGGGGGCTGTCGGCAACACTTTCCCCAGCCCCTCCTGGGCCTTCCACCTCCCTTCCAGGGCGCTCCAGCCAGGTCGACCCCTGGCCCTCAAGGCGTCCCCAGTCTTGTCCAGTTGTCCATCTCCCAAACACGATTCCTCTTTCCCATCCAGGGCGGTGTGATAGGGATCCAGATCGAGTGGGACTGTGATCTTGACAAAGCTCCTTCTGAATGCAACCCTCGCTATTACTTTAGCCGCCTAGACCGCAGGTTTCCCGGAAACTCTGTCTCCTCGGGGTATAACTTCAGGTAACAGACTGGGCCTGCTGCCTGACTCTGTCCATGTTTTGTGTCCTTCCCTGGGTGCCAGTGCTGTGACACCCTTCTGGGGATGTCAGAGGAGGTACAGGGAGAGACATCTAGGGAGAGAGAGATGGCCTCTGGGAGGGGAAAGAGGATGGGTCATCGCCCTGGGCTCCCGGAGAAGCTGAGGCCTGACTTCTCAGCTGGCTGAGCTCTGTCCGTTCTCCGGTGGCCCCAGGTTGGCCCAGTGTGCAGTGGGAAAGCCCGTGCCCCTTGGGGATGTCTGACAAGGACTCAAAGATCTGGATGAATCTGAGGCATGTCAGCAAGAGGGTCTGCAACCTCTCCCGGGGCTGCTGTGAGCGAGGTCCTGGGATGCTTATAAATCTCAAAAGCAGCTGAGTCTGTTGCCAAACAGGGAAGGCCCAGGAAGGCTGAGGTCTCCCCTGGGCTGTGTCTCCCCAGGTTTGCCAAATATTACCGCGATGAAGCCGGGGTGGAGTTCCGCACCCTGATCAAAGCCTACGGGATCCGCTTTGATGTCCTGGTGAATGGCAGGGTGTGTGAGCTGCGTCTCCCCTTGGGAGGCTGGGCACGTCCAGGGTGGGGCAGGCATGTTGGGAGGGACCCTGCTATCCAACTGCTCCCTCACCCTCCCTCTCTCTGTGCTTCAGGCAGGGAAGTTCAACATCATCCCCACAATCATCAACGTGGGCTCAGGGGTGGCACTCATGGGTGTTGTGAGTACCTCTCCCCTCCTTCCCCTTTACCCTCTGCACACTGGTGGGGGGAGGGGGAGTTGTCCAAATGCCCCAGAAACAAAAAACTGACAGGTCAGCGCAGGTGCCAGAAAAGAGGGCTTTCTGGGACTTCACGCCCCTCCAGTGGCCCCCAGGGGGCAGAGAACTGCCTGAATTTCTCTTTCTAGAGCCAGAGGCATCTGCCTATTTCTCCGGAGCTGGGGGTTCTCTGGGATACAGGATTAGCCCCTGAATTTCATTTATTTTTTATTAATGACAGTTACAGATGTCCCTGTTCTCCCTGCCATTTGCCCATCTCCAGCCAGCCCCCACCACCCCTCCCTCTGGCCTTCACCCTACCGCTGTGTCCACGGGTTATGCATATGTGTTCTTTGGCTCATCTCTTCACCTTCTTTCATCTAGTCTCTCCCACTACCCTTCCCTCTGACACCTGTCAGTCTGCTCCATGTATCCATGCCTGTGGTTCTATTTTGTTCATTAGATTCCACATATAAGTGAGACCATATGGTATTTGTCTTTCTCTGACTGGCTTACTTTGCTTAGCATAATGCTCTCCAGGTCCATCCATTCTGTCGAAGAGGGTAAGAGTTCCTTCTTTCTTAGAGCTGCATAGTATTCCATGGGGTAAATATACAACAGCTGGATTAGCCCCTGAACTTTTAAATTCTAAAAAGTGGTAGGGTCCACCGATATATATAGGTTTTCTCCACCGTGACTCTGTGGAACAAGAGATTGATAAAGCATTTCTAGCATCGCGGGAGGAAAAAAAAAAAAGGTGTGCAGAGCCCAGGGTCAGAGGACCAGGTTCACCTGTGGCCCATCCATCAACTCTTCCCATCCTCCACCCTTACTCATTCTGGAAACCGGCTGTGTTGAGGTGGATTCGCCCTCTGGTGGAAGAGACAGGTGTTGCACCACAGACTTTTGCCTGAAGTGCATGTGCTCAGGTGTCAGAGGGTCCCAGCTGGGTTAGCACAGGTTGCCTCATCTTTCCTTGGCCATCGTTGCGGCATCCTTGTTATTCAGATCCCCTACCACCCATCTCTCCCACTGATTCCCAGAGGGATCTTTTCAAAATGCCGCAGTTCTGTGTTCTGCCCTATTCAACGCCCTCAATGCGAGAGGATGAGAACCGTGCCTTGAAGACATTTCAGGAAGCATCACAGGCTGGCCCCACCCAGCTCTCCAGAAGTGTCTTTCCTCTTCCCCACAGCCTTGTGGGATTTCCCAGGCATGACGAGCTTGTTTCTGCCGCTGCAATGCCCTTCCTGAGCTTTTTGTATTAATTCCTATTTAGCCCTCAAGACTCAACACAGACTGAGTCAAGTCCTGCCTTTGCTCTCCTTGCTCCTCCTCTCCCCATCATAAGACACATCACCGTGTGCCATAAGTTGCATGCCTGTCTCTTGCACCAGAGAGGGAGAATCCTCAGGGGGTCTCATTGCCTTAGTCCTCCCTGCACCCCAGGGCAGTACCTGGCATGTGTGAATGCTCAGCAAATGTTTGTTAAACATGATTAGATGGACTTCAGGCTCACCTGGGCTCTACTGTGGATCAGCTTTGTGACCTTAAAGGTCCCTTTAAAAAAATATATTGATTTTAGAGAGGAAGGGAGAGGGAAAGCGAGAGAGAAACATCAATGATAAGAGAGAATCATGGATCGGCTGCCTCCTGCACGCCCCTCACTGGGTATCGAGCCCGCTACCCAGGCATGTACCCTTGGCTGGAATCGAACCTGGGACCCTTCAGTCTGAGGCCGATGCTCTATCCATTAATCCAAACCAGCTAGGGCAAAAGGCACCTCTTTCTGATCTCAGTTTCCCCATCTATGAAATGGGACAACGATGCAGGCTTCTGGGATTGTTACAGGATTAAATAGGATACAGTGGTCAGGTGCCTGCGGGCTCTCCAGAAGTCTAGGGTCTGAGTCAGGACCCCCAACTCTTTTGCAGGGGTCTTTCTTCTGCGACCTGATACTCATCTACTTCATCAAAAAGAGCCACTTTTACCGCAACAAGAAATTCGAGGAAGTACGGTCAGTTACGCTTCCTCCCCAGTGGTCCCACGGGAACCGTGTGGAGCCAGCCTCTCCCTCTCTGTCTTAGGACCTTTACCCTGGGTGGAGGCTGTGCCTGGTGGGTGGAGGCAGGGGTGAACATAGGGAGCCGCCCCGGAAGGGAGGGAAGACGGACTGTTCTGAGTACATGCTCTACAGAACCAGACTCCTCCTCAGAGCAGCTGGCAGACGGAAAAGCCACCACATACCTGGTGGGCAGACCTGGTTTCCAGGCCTCCTTGGGCCTCAATTTCTCTCTGCAAAATGAGAGAATTGGTTTATATACAGTGACTTGTTGCAGTTACAATTTAGTATTCTTGGACTTGGTGGTCCTGGGCTGGGGTTGAGGGAGGCTGGAGTGGTAAGGGAAGAAAAAAATGGATTTCTTTTTTTTTTTTTTTACTACAGGAGCCTATTTCCAGGCTCTCCTGGCTGTGGGCTTGTTGGTTGTGTGTGTCTGTGGGCGGGAAGGAAGGGGCAGGGGCTCTGGCCCACCCTTGGGAAGGCTTCCTGGAGGAGCTGGGATTAGAATGGGGAGTTTCGAAGTGGTGCTCCCTCAGTCCCATCACAACCTGAGGCAGCAGGTGGCCAGCTCGCGTCGTTCACCTGGCTTGAACCCGAGCCTGGTTCCTAGGCTGAGCCCTGAGCCCTGAGGGCTCCTGCCACCCCAACTGAGCAGCTGGAGGAAGAGGGGCACCGTCTGCAGGGCCTGCCCCACCAGTCCTTGGGGGAGGCCAGGTTGTGCAGGCCAGGTTAACGGCAAATCCTGCCCAGGTGCCTAGACATCCTTGCCCTGTGGGCAGAGTCCTAGCAGCTGAACAGGGTCACAGAGGCTGAAGGAAGAAGAGGGGCCTGGGCTGCTGGGCACAGGACGAAGGTGGCCGAATGGCAGAGCATGCTGGCACCTCCTGGAGCAGGCTGCCGTGGTCCCTGCTCTGTGGTGACCTGTGCATAAGGCCAGACCCAGGAGCACCCAACCAAGCTGGACTCTGGGGGGAGAGGATGCTGGTGGTGCTTTAGCCCCTCCATGACCCTCATTAGCTCCCCAGCCCCCCTAAGCAACCACAGGGCAGTCTGCTTGCTGTGCTGTCCCAGCGTTAAGACAACAGTGCTGTCATTTACTCAGGCTCACTCTGCCCAGCACTGCTCTGAGCAATTTGTATGTGAACTCACATCAGCAACTTTAATGAGCTGGGCACTAACATTCTCTATTCCACTAATGAGGAAACAGGCACAGAAGGGTTAAGTGAGTTAAGTCATACAGCTAATAAACGGCAGAGCTGGGGTTGGAATCCAGGCAGTGTGTCTAGAATCAGTTCTTTTCCATCAGGTTATTCTGCTTTACCAAGTCCCCCAACCCCTCACCCAGTCAGATGCCTTCCCTAAGTGCCTCTCAGTGGAAATGCTGCAGCTGCCCTAGGCTCGGAAGGGTGGTGGCTGTGCTGACAGGTGGTCCTCCCCTGGGCAGCACGGTTGGTTCTGCAGATGAAACCTCAACCTGGTGCAGGAGGTGGCCTTCAGGTCTGCCCGGCCCCTCTGCCTTGCTTTGTGCCTTTGAGCAGGGGCCTGGCCTTTTCTGGGCCTGCCTCCCTCCCCCCATTTTCTTCCCAGTGGGGGCTGCACAGAGGAGCCCCTGTGTTCAGTCAGCTAGGATTCTGTGACTCTCCTCTTGTAAACCAATCCCAGGAGGAGTTCACTGGCCTGGGTGGACTTTCCTCCCACCCCCGTTTTCATTCTTGGCCAACTCAGGAGTTGGCAGCCTCCAACCAGAAGCTGGGCCTGGGCAGGGAAAGGACAGAGAGGAAGGGCAGAGGATGGAGAGGAGTGGAGAGGTTGTAGGGACTGCAGCAGCTGGGGCCAGGAGGCAGTGGAGGCTGGGGATCTGCTGGGGTGGCTGGGCACCCCTCAGCTGACTGTCACTTCTTGGGTGCTTGCCTGAGCTCCTTTGCCTGTGAGAGGGAAGAATGGCTACCATGCTGGTCATGTGGTGGCTGCTGTCATTGCTGGGGCAGCTCCAGAGGCCTCGGCCTGAGCATCTGAGTGCCTGGACTGCACCAGGGACCCCGGTACTGCCCCTCTCTGCGGACGCTCTGCCTGCAGTGCTGCCTGGGCGAAGCTGTCCCTGTCCCCACAGGGTTCCCAGCTACCCTCTGTGTGCCCCTCACTACCCACACGCAGGTCTGGCCACCCGGGGAATGGAAAGGTGACCGTGGAGCAGCTGCAGAACCTGCAGACAGTGGAGGCGTAGCCAGAGGCGGCTGAGAGCAGATTTAGTGAAGACGTCGGGCAGAACTGGCTGAAGCTCTGAACGGGAAGAGCGAGGAGCCTGTGTCCGCATGGACTGGGGCTTCCAGGAGCCACCATCCCTCCTGCACTTTGGGATCTTACTACAAGCTTTTTGTTGTGTGTGGGGGAGGGGAAATGCTGGAGAGGGAAGGGGCAGGCCAGGGTGTAAATGATACTAGGTGTTTTCATGTTTTCTGAGAACCTAGTTGGACATTCATTCACTTATTTATTCACACATGCAGTAAACTTTTTTGCTGTGGGCTGGGCCCTATCCAAGAGATGCTTAAATGAGACCCTGACCTGGCCCTCAGGGAGCAGAGCAACTGTGTAATTCCCTCTAAAGACAACAGACTCACAGCCAGGCTCAGCCATTCTGGCCTTCCTCCAGCCTCTAGCTGACTTTCACAGCGGGGAGGCAGGGAGGCCTCACTCCAGTCTGACCTGCCCAGCCTGGGAGGCTCTGGGCATGGCATCTCATGGGAGACACTGTGGTTTGGCTCTTGCTGTTCTGTGGGGTTGGGTGTCCTTGCCCAGCTCCCCTTCCTCTCTCCTCAAAGGCTGGCTGGGTCTGAAGGGGTAAGGACAGGGTGCTCACGCAGCAGGTGGGAGTTGTTAGGGAGGCCCTCACCCCTCACCCTCCTTCCCCACCTCACCCTGCTGCTCCCTCCCTTACTGTCTGTAGAGCTGCTCTCCTCAAGGTGTGGTCCCTGGACCAGCAGCCTCCAATAGCCTTGGCATCACCCGGGAGCTTGTTAGCCCTTCCCTTCCTCCTAAATCAGGGCCTGTGTTGCAATGGGGCTCCCAGGGGATTCGCGTGCTCCTTACACTCAGAAGCCCTGCAAGGGTGAGGAGCTCTGCAAAGCCTGGTTCTGAGGGAGGAAAGAGCCAGCTTCGGTGGGTGGCGCCAATTTCCAGGCCAAACTTACTAGTACACACACTCTCCCTTGAAACTACAGGACCCCCCTTCCTGCCCCAGGGAAAGGAGCATTACACTCAATTCATTTAAATCAAAATATTTTAACTAGGCAACACTTATACGATTCAAAATTTTAAAGGTACAAAAGAATAGCAAAAGCTTCCCTCCCACCTGTTCTAGAGGCCACCTGTGTTACCAATTCCAAGAGGCTCCCTCGTTTTCAAACTGAGAATCCACTTGTTACTCAGGACGTGAACTTTTCCTCATGCCTGCAGCATCAGACCACGTCTCCTGTGAGAAAGGGACACGATGGAATGGGCTGGGAGCCAGAGAGCTCGCTTCTCCCTCCCCGTGTCTGGGAGCCCCTGTGTAAACCCAGGGGGAGAAGCCTAGAACTCTGCTTCAACTATGGCCGCAAAGGCCTGCAGTGCCCGTTGCACAGCTGCCAGGACACTGGGGAGCTCCTCTCTGGAAGTGCTCCCTCGGAGCGCCCTGGAGTCAGGGGAGCCTGATTCTCTGCACACAGAGGAGGGGTGAGCATCCTTCCCCTGGGGTCTTTGGAGAGGGTCAGAAGGGGCTGGAAGGTTTCTGGTGAGGCTCCACCACCAGGGCAGAAGGTTGTGGACCCTGCAACAGGAACCCTTTTGGAGCAAG